GTTGCCTTTGGAATTTCTATAAATAAATTTAACTTTTTTATTTTTATTTTTTTACTAAGAGGTCTTTGCTTTAAACTCAGTGGGGTGAGACCCAGAGAGCGATTAACTGAAACGTCTCTTGTTTAAGTAAGACTGCACCCTCCATGCCTTTGTAAAATGCAGCGTACACTTGAGCAGGCCACCAGCCAAAAATCCTGATGAATCAAATTATGGCAGGGGTGCACTGATCAAAAATTTAAAAGCGTGTCTATTCCCCAGCATGCATCAGGCCTTCCTCCTCCTCCTCCTCCTCCTCCTCCTCCCCTTGGCTCCTCTCTCTCTCGCTCTCACTCCCATTCACCCTTCTCCCTTTCTCTCTCTCTCTCTCGCACTCACTCTCTCGCGCTCCCTCTCGTACTAAATCAAGCGAGTGGGCATAGGCTCTCCTCCAGGAGGACAAACCTTTAAGTGCAGAACAAAATCAGCATGTTCCATCCAAGCCTCCATCATACATTATGCATGCGACAAAGTTTGGCAACAGTGGAGCTGATGTGATGACACAGCTAATCAATAAGAACCCACCGCATGAAACCTTTATAGTGGTTACTTTTTAAGGGCTCAAGTGAAGGAATTGTCTTTGTCAACTTTGGCTTAAAATATCCTTATATAGTTCCGGTACTTTCTCAGGGTCCACTGGTCTAGGTAAAAAATGTGTAAATTTTTGATGCCGTTTAGTCCTAGTCCCTTCTCTTGGAGTCCCATCTTTATTTAACGCAACGTAGTAACGTCTTCCAGTGTCCACGTGTTTATATAGATTTGATGAGTATGTGTTATACCAGTTTTCTTCAAACTGCTCTCTGAATACACACTCCTGGGTTAATTTTTCCTATGGAAAGAAAAGAAAAAGCAGTAAGGAGATAGAAAGCCACAAAAATAAGCTATTTTTTAAAGAATTTCTATTTTCACAGCTTGAAATCAGAACCTCCTTGCTCAATTTGCAAAATGAACCATTTCAGTATTCCCAGTTCTAGCTAAATAAAGCTGGGTGTTTCATAAGAGAAGGCTCCAGGGGGACCTCATTGCAGTCTTCCAATACCTGAAGGGGCTACAAGGAAGCTGGGAGGGGACTTTTTACAAGGACCTGTAGCGACAGGACAAGGGGTAACGGGTTTAAATTGAAAATGGGGAGGTAGATAACAGGAAGATATTTATATTTATCCTGATATTTATCCAGATATTAGATATCAAGAAGTTATTTTTCCAGATATTAGATATTTATCCAGATATTAGATATCAGGAAGAAGTTCTTCATGGAGAGGGTGGTGAGACACTGGAACATGTTGCCCAGAGAAGCTGTGGATGCCCCATCCCTGGAAGAGTTCAAGGCCAGGCTGGATCAGGCTTTGAGCAACCTGGTCTAGTGGAAGGTGTCCCTGCCCATGGCAGGGGGGTTGGAACTAGATGGTCTTTAAGGTCCCTTCCAACCCAAACCATTCTGTGATTCTATGATAAAGCTATAGTGGTGGATAACTCTATGTGAAGCAAAAATGATTCTCCAAAAGCCTCCTTATTCAAATCAAAACAGCCACAAAAAACTGAAAACAGGTATTTTAATTTCTCCTCATTCTCAAGCAGCTCACAAGATGTTTATTCACTGTGTGCATAGCCCCCTACTCCCTTTTGGTCTAAACAGATGGGGTTTTCTTAAAATGCAGCCACCTGATAACCTGGTTTATTTTAGGAAGGACAAGTGACTGAGCAAAAAGGCAGGAAATATGTAGTGAGTTCTAGAATAGGAGAGCTCATGGAAGCTGGAGAAAATAAGCTCAGAAATAATCTTTTCAGCTTGCACAATAAACTATAATAATGACAATTTTACACATTTTTTACGTAACAGGAGTTCTCATTTGAATAGCACTCACATCTACCAAACTCAGCTTCCCGCTGAGGATTAATTCCTAATTATTACAAAGCTCCACACAACACAGACTTCTGTGCATGTGTTTTACAGACATAAAGTCTTGTAACAGTCCTTTTAGATGGGTGCACAGAGAAGGGAAAAGAGACCAAGGTCCAGAGGCAACAAAGCATTTACAGCACCTAAACCTGCAGCCTGAGGTTTGGGCTGCAGCTCGAGCACCAGTGTCCCCCAAGAAGCCACCATCCATGGCTTAATCCAGGAGCTCCCCAAAACCCACCATCACCAAAGCTTGCAGCATGCCCTGGGACTGCAGGCATCTCTGGGGCCACCTCTGCTCCTGGGGAGTCAGCTGACATCCATTTCCTAAAGCGACATATTTCAGCCTGGATATTTGCCTGCTGCTTTGCATGGCAAGCATGCTGTCCCCAGGGCAGAGCTCTGCAGCCCACTGGGGTTGGGGACCAGGGTCCCAGCCAGATCCAAAGAACCCTACACACCTCACAGGAGTCACCCAGCAACCATTCCACATGGGTACAGCAACCCCTGTGAATGGGGGAGAGAAAGCCAGCACCCCCCGTGCTGCCCTACAGTCCCCAAACCGGCTCCTGAGCTGCAAAGCCAGGGTCCTCCTCAATGCCTAAAGGTCTGGGATTTGGAGGTTTCTTCTCAGTTCAAGTTGTGGCAACTACAGTAGGCAAGAAAGGCAGCAAGCAAGCGGCTCCTGACTTCCCCTTTGATAGGCATTGGGAACCTCATCCCCCGTCAGGAAGGAGAAATCCCCAACAAGCCTAGTTGTGGGATGTTAAACACTCGAGCTTTCACTACGGCAGTCCCAACCCTCGCACTCTCTCCTGCAGTTTGACCAGGAGAGTTCCCTCCCCGCAGGTCCCGCTGAGCAGCACATGCAGAGACATGAGCATGTGTGCCGGCTGGCTGTACGTAACAACTTCTTTTGGGGTCATTTCTGACTATAATGTTCGTAATGCGTTAAGTACCTCAAACAGAGCAACACTCCCTACTGGTTGTAGGCAAAAGAAGCACAAACCTGTTTACATAAAATCCTTATTTATGGGCCAGAGCCTGCAACCTCCTATTGATAACTGTCTCTATGCCCTTTGACAGCCAGAAACTGCAGCAGTAATGAATATTACTGGAGCTCAGCATCAGCTGAAAGTTAGACACATTGCAGTAACCCCCTTGTACAGCCTCAGCCTACAACTATTACAAAAAAGATTCAGCTGCTATAGGGATTGCCTTTAAGTACCATTTTCATTAGTGTTTTATTTTGCATGAGGTTTAAAATCACTTTGTTTGCTTTAAGGCAGAAGCAGATGCTAAAGGGTATTATACGCTGGGTCTATAGGTCCATGGGGAAAGAGAAACTAATTCAAATTGTTTTCCTGCTCTCAGAAGGCAATAGGATCACATGACAAGCACTGCAGAAGCACTCCCTGCTAAAAATAGCAACATTTTAGGAAGATATTTCAGTCCTGTCTTGAATTCATTAATTATTCACTCCATCTGCATTTTTTTAGCATCATCATAAATTTCTATCTTTGCAAGAAGCCATGCCCTGAAGGAGAAATTTTAAAATAGCCTCTCTTTATCTGGCAGGTTTGGTGGATCATGACCGTGCAGTGGTACACTTAACTAGCAGACCTTGAATAAGAGGGTTTGCATTGTACTGCACTCTGGATGAGTTCAATGGATTTCAACCTCACAAATTTATTTTATAGGCTTATCCTGTTTTTACTTTTCATACTATTACAACACAGCAACATCTCATTTGTCCTTCATCAAAATTCACAGAAATTCACGTAGGCAAATACTTCAGGTTCAGATTTGTAGGGACAATAATGATCACAGTTTCGAAGAAGTGAAATAATTCCTTTATAAATTCATTAAACAGTTTCTTTCTAGGACACCTAGAAATTCTGACTGTAGTCAGAGACCACAGTAATAAATTGTTGTCAGTGACTTTGGATCATAGAATCACAGAATGG